GATGAGGCTGACACAAGTGGCAAAGTGGAAGAGTGTACACAGTTCACCTTCACCAACCAAGCAGCACCTATGTGTATCTGTTCTTGTTCAATCTGTTCGCCTCCATGTATTTCTTCCCGCGTTTTTTCCTCGAGAGATCAGAGAGGCGGTGGGGTGGGTGGGGCGGAGCGAGAGTGGAAGAACGCCGGCAGGAAGGCACGTGTGCGGAATGTGTGTTTCGAAAACTAAGGACTGTTCATTGGAGGCTAGTGTCTGTACAGTACATAGCACAAAGGCGGAGGAAGGACCAGGTTTGGTTTGGAGAGGACCCGCGCCGCTAAACCGAGGCGAGTACGTCCACGCAGTGGCCCTAGGCCCGGCAATCCACCTTCCTGGTTCTCCCACCGAACCCCTGAAACGAAAACAGAAACCTGAACAGGTCCAATTTTAGGGGCCCAAGCAAAGGTTTCGTATGGATGCTGCCACCAACAGTAAAGTATCACATAAGAGCTGGAGGATAATTCACAAATATGTCCCTTTTGAACTGTTCTTCTCACATTCACATTGTCGAAATTCCCAATATGTCATATACTGGATAAATCTGTCTAGTCAAGTCATGCGGTGCAGTGCATATGAAAAATATCTCTAATAGATATTGTCTCTAGTGAGAACATGCCAGAAAAGGGCTCACAATTGTTCACATATATTACGTACGAAAACGTTGGATTTTGAGCTGTGACAAACACGCAGCAATACTTCATGTTCGCTTCAATATGCAACTGTACATTTTATCGAGGCCCTTGTTAGTGACCATCCGCATTTTTCCTTCCCTACCCTGTCCCCAAGAACTCCTTCGGGATAAATCCACACAACCACGCGCAGCACTACACAGCGCAGATGGCTGCGAGACTATCTGAAGAGGAGGCGGAGGAGGAGGAGATAGAGCGGTGTTTGCGCGCCATCATCCAGCTGCCGCGCACTCGCGTAGGAGGCGCGGGCGGCGACGGCCGCCCTCCGAGCTCCAGCGGCGACAGCAGCAGCGTCGACTGGCCGTTCCTCACGCAGCAGGTGGCCGCCGTCGCGTCTTTCTGAAGACCGCTGATTCTGAAGCTGCTGATTCCGCTCCAACCTAACATTGCTCCCCGCCTCTACCCACCGTCTCTCTGCTTTCTTCTTCCTTTATTCTTTCCCCTGCACTAAACTATCATTCCTGTCACCGCCGTGTGCGGAAAGAACGTGTGAACCCTCGCCCCCGCCCCCACTTGCCTCCGCCATCTCATGCCAATTCCCTGGCTCACAGGTGCGCCGACTTCACCAGTTCATCTTCCTGGGCCACTTGGACGGCCCAGATGCACGGGGCGGGAGAAGACACTACAGCCATGAGCCCGATCATCATCATCACCATCACCACCATCACCAGCAGCAGCAGGTGCAGCAGCGGCGGAGGGAGAAGTGGGAGCACCAGGTGCTGCCCCATCTCAACCGCCTAGTGCACCGTCTCTTCGCTCCATCCGCCCACCGCTCCTCCCTCTCTCGGCCCCCACCCGCTGCAGCTCCCCTCCTCGTTGTAAGGCCCCGTTTCCACCCCTTCCTCCCCACACCCACACCCCTCCAACCCCTACTTTAGATTCGCCTCAAAAGGCAAATCCCCAGTCGTCATCTCTCCGTATCCTCTCTCCCTCCTCCCTCCCTTCCTCCCACCCCCACCCCCCCCCCCCCCCCCCCCCCCCCCCCCCCCCCCCCCTCTCTCCCCCCTCTCTCCCCTCTCTCCCCTCCCTCATTCTCCTTTAGAGCGCCTCTCCTTATTACAATCACGCCCCTTCCGTATCGCACGGTGCACGGCGTCAAATGGTAGAGGCTTCACTTCAACACAACCTTGCTTCGCTCATTCTTTCTTGACTCTTTCCTCCATCCCATCCTACCTCTCTTCTCCTCCCCCAACCCCCTCACCCGCCCCCTTCCCACCCCATCCATGTCCCAGGCATCGCTGCGCTTCTTCTTAGCAGCAGGGGAGGAAGGGCTGCTACCGTTAGACACCGCTCTCAACACCCTCATGACCTCCTGCCTTCCCTCGTACGTACGCGGCCTTGCCTCTCCTCGCGGCCTTCTCTCACGTCATCTCTTCTGCCCGGTGGCTTTGACATGGGAAGGGGTATGTGTGTGCGAGTGGCATGTGTGTGAGAGTGGCATGTGTGTGCGGCATGTGTGCAGACGCATATCGCAGCATGGGCATCGGCAGTGGGATTATGGCATAAGCCATCATGCACACGCACACCTCAACACCCGAACGCCATTTCTTTCCCTCTCCCCTCTCCACTCCCCCATATTTGATCCTAACCCACATCGTTTTCGTACACGCCATCATCCACACACATATCATCAAGCCTTCCCCTCACATCTCCTCTCCCCCTTCCCCCTCCACCTCCCCCCTCCTCCTCCCCCTTCCCCTCCCCCGCCATCCGCCCCTTCCTCCTCCCCCTCCCCCGTCCCCCCTTTGCGTACAGTTGGTTCTGGGACCCTATGGCTGCGCGAGAGTGCCTCTCCTTCTTCGCCTCCTGCCGCTTGCCCCTGCGCCACTCCCACCCCCGCATTCTGCAGCAGGTGCGCCACACAGCATTCGCTCCAACGCCTTCCCCATGTCTCCTTTGCACCAACCCTCATGCTCATTTTCTCCGTCCCCCCCATTCCCCCACGACCCCCCCGTTCCCCCCCCCTGTCCCCCGTGTCCCATCCCCCCCACCACCCCATTCCATATGCCCCCGTCTCTCTCTCCCATTTTCGTTCGCTTGCCCTCCATTCCGTTCCCTCCTGTAGCTGCTTCACCGTCCACATGTATCTCTCCCCTTTTTCTACCGCTTGCTTCATTGTGCGCATCCCATCGATCTCACTCTCGCTGTATCTCGCCATTGCCCCTCCCATTGCCCCTCGCCGTTGCCCCTTCCCCTTGCCCCTCCCACTTGCCCCTCTCCTTTGGCCCTCCCCGTCGCCTCGCCCTTGCCCCTCCCCCTTGCCTCGCCCATGCTCCTCGCCCTTGCCTTTCCTCATGCCTTGCCTTCCCTCGCTCCTGCCCGTTTTCTACCAGCACCTTCCGCTTCTTCTCAAGACCCTCGCATCGCACGGCAGCATGTGAGTGAGTCCATTCCATGCAGGTCCTCTAAGCTCCTTTCTAGACGCCTAGATTTGTACAAGACGGCGGCGGGAGGGCCATGTGAGGTATTTTCTTGTAGCTTTTTAGCCGCCTCACATGACCCTCCCGTTGTCTGGTGGCAGCATGTGATGTGATGTGATGTGATGTGATGTGATGTGATGTGATGTGATGTGAGCCCATGCAGATGTTTTGCACAGTGTGCTTTAATAGACAATCTGAAATGGGATATCTTCGATGGGAAGAACCCCCCCCCCAAGGCACATGCTCTGCTTCTGCGTTTAGGCATCTCACATCATGCCTCATGTGGCTCATTTTTCTCCGTCGCTCTCCTCTCTTCCCCATCCCTCCTCCCCTTCCATCCCCCTTCTGTCCTCCCCATCCCCCCTCCTGTCTCCCCCCTCCCTCCCCAGCGTGCTGCCTCAGTTCACACAGCTCATTCCGGACCTTCTCTCCTCCTCCTCGCTCATCCCCCTCTTCCTCCGACTCCTTGACCTCCCAGGTGCTCCCGCCTCCCTGTTCCTTGTTCCCTGCTCCCTTCTCCCTGTTCCCTCCTCCCTACTCCCTACTCCCTGCTCCCTGCTCCCTGCTCCCTGCCCCCGCCTTCCTGCTCCCTGTGTTTTTGTCTCTATTCTTTTACTGGCACTTGCCTGTCACTCAACCAACCTCCCGCGTCCATTCCCTCCCACTCCCCACCTCTCTCGCCGTGCTGGGCCCTGGCCATCGCCCTGGGCATGTCAGCAGGCGGCAGGGCGGCCACCCTCATGGCTGCTCTGCTGCAAGAAACACACCGGCAGTCGCCTGTCACTCTACCAACCAGTTCCCCCCGTCTATTCCGTCCCACCACCCCCCACTCCCCCTGGACAGTGCTGGCCACCGTCCTGGGCATGTCAGCAGGCGGCAGGGCGTCCACTCGCTCATGGCTTGTCACTTTCCTGCTCCCTCTCCTCTCTATTCCCTCGCTCTCGGCCCCCACTCCCCTCCCTCCGCGCAGTGCTGGCCATTGCACTGGGCATGTCAGCAGGCGGCAGGGCGTCCACCCTCATGGCCTGTCAGTCTGCCAACCTCCCCTTCCTATTTCCTCTCACCCCTCAATCCCCTCCTTCCGCCCACTTCTCTTGCAGTGCTGGCCATCGCACTGGGCATGTCAGCAGGCGGCAGGGCGTCCACCCTCATGGCCTGTCAGTCTGCCAACCTCCCCTTCCTATTCCCTCTCACCCCTCAATCCCCTCCTTCCGCCCACTTCTCTTGCAGTGCTGGCCATCGCACTGGGCATGTCAGCAGGCGGTAGGGCGTCCACCCTCATGGCGTGTCAGTCTGCCAACCTCCCCTTCCTATTCCCTCTCACCCCTCAATCCCCTCCTTCCGCCCACTTCTCTTGCAGTGCTGGCCATTGCACTGGGCATGTCAGCAGGCGGCAGGGCGTCCACCCTCATGGCCTGTCAGTCTGCCAACCTCCCCTTCCTATTCCCTCTCACCCCTCAATCCCCTCCTTCCGCCCACTTCTCTTGCAGTGCTGGCCATCGCCCTGGGCATGTCAGCAGGCGGCAGGGCGTCCACCCTCATGGCCTGTCAGTCTGCCAACCTCCCCTTCCTATTCCCTCTCACCCCTCAATCCCCTCCTTCCGCCCACTCCTCTTGCAGTGCTGGCCATCGCCCTGGGCATGTCAGCAGGCGGCAGGGCGTCCACCCTCATGGCTGCAGCAGCGGAGCCAGCTGCTGATGTGAGTGGCTGAACCCTCGCCTGCTATACCGGTAGTGCTTAGCTTTTGACAGTGAGTGTCCTCAAGATTGAGCTCATGGCTGCAGCAGCGGAGCCAGCTGCTGATGTGAGTGTCCCGTCCCGTCCCCCCGCCACCTATATTCCCCTTCTGCTTTTCGCTACACAGGCGCATCACACAACAACAGCAAGAGCAATCCCAACCCGCTTCCCCTTTCCCCTACTTCTCCCCAACTTCCCGCCCCACTTCTCCTTTCCCCTACTTCTCCCGAACCCCCCTCCCCCACTCCCCCCTCCTCCTGCCATCCCCCACCCCATGCATGGCCAGGACGTGCTAGCCCTGATGGACTTTGGCATCACAGGCACAGCAGACAACGACAGCGAGAGCGACCCCAGCCCACTTCCCCTTTCCCCATCTTCTCCCCAACTCCCCTTGCACCCTTCCCCCTCTCTCTCCCTGCCATCCCCCCCAATGCGTTGCCCTGCCGCGTGGCCAGGACGTGCTAGCCCTGATGGACTTTGGCTTCACGGGCACGGCAGACAACGACAGCGAGAGCGACCCCTCCCCACTTCCCCTTTCCCTTGCTTCTCACCAACTCCCTTCCCCTCCTCCCGCTTCTCCCTGCCATCCCAACCATGCATCGCCCTGCCATCCTTCTCTCCCCCTGCATCGCCCTGCCATCCTTCTCCCCCCCTGCATGGACAGGACGTGCTAGCCCTGATGGACTTTGGCTTCACGGGCACGGCAGACAACGACAGCGAGAGCGACCCCAATCTGCCTGCCAGCAAGCCGCGACCAGAAACTGCCTCCTCCGCCGCTGCTGCTGCTGCTGCTGGTGCTGGCGGTGCTGCTGTTGGTGCTGCTGTCGGGGCTGCTGGTGGTGGTATTGGTGGTGGTAGCGGTGCTGCTGCTGGTGCCGGGGGCGCCGCTGCTACTGCTGGTGTGGGGGAAAAGGGCGCAGGGCGAAAGAAACAAGGGGGAGGTGGGGGCGGGGGAACTGGGGTGGGGGGGATGGGTGTAGGGAGGGCGGGAGGGGAGAGGGGAGCGGATGGGGGGATGGCGCCGGCGGCTCTGGCGGTGCTGATATCGTGGATGCTGATAGATGAGCTGGCTGCAGGGGAGGCGGAGGTGAGTTTCCATATTTGAGGGAAGCGTTCGAAGGGCGAGGTGAGTGTCAGATGGCCGTTTTTTTGTCAGACTCAAAAGATGTGCCTGCCCCTGTGGCGCCTCTGGCGGTGCTTATATCGTGGGACGTGGGTTCATAGAAAGGCTTATATTGATGAGCCGCCTGCAGGCGAGTGCGAGTGGGAGGTGAGTGCGAGGCGAGTTGGCCTTTGGAGATGGGTGAGGTGAGTGAGATTTGCCTTGAAGGTAAGGCTCAAGGCAAAAGCGTCCATGGTTTTTACGGGGGGAATGAGATGGTATGGTTCATTACCTAGTGTATTTGGGGATCGAGTTCTGCGAGTGAAGTGAGGGCGTGTGCAGGATATGGACTTGGCATTTTTTGCAAATTCTCAAAAGCGGACTCAATCAAACTGCTACAATTACAAACCGCTTTGCTGCTCTCTTGCCCCCATGCCCTCTGCCCTCTCACCCTCCTGCCCTCCTACCCTCCAGGTGGGGTCGCGCAGGGAGCAGGAGGCGGTCATGTGGCGCCTGCCGGGATTCTCCCAAGCGCTGCTCACTGAAGCCCGTAGACAGACAGCTGGGGCTGCTCATAACGCGGACAGAGATGATGGGGGCGATGGGGGTGAGGGGGGTGAGCGGAGTGAGAGGCAACGAGGGGTTTACGGGGGAGGGAGAGAGGCAGGGGGAGAGGGAGGGCGGGCGCAGGGGGAGGGCGAGGGGCGGTGGGGGAGTGTAGGGGACGGAGGTGGTGGGGGTGGTGGTGGTGGTGGTGGTGGGGGTGGCATTGATGGGTTTGTTGGGAGAGGCATTGGGAAAGCAGGGAGTCCTGCAAGAAAGGATGCAGCAGGAGGAGCAGGAGCAGGAAGAGGAGGAGGAGGAGTAGGAGGTGAGGGTGGTGGAACTGGCCTAGGCTCTCCTGTCACTGCGTCTCAAGCAACTGTAACACCAACACCACCATCACCAACACCAGCAGCAGCAGGAGCAGCAGCAGCAGCAGGATTAACACCAGCGGCAGCGGCCGCCGCGGCGGCAGCAGCAGCAGCTGAGGCGTGGAGTGAGGGGTTGAGGGAAGACGCCCGGGAGAATGAGAGGCGGCTGCAGGAGTGCCTTGCCATGGCGCCTCACCTGCTGGATTCTCTGCTGGAAACGGTCTTAACAGGCATGGGCCAAGGTGAGCGGGGGGTTTTCGTTGAAACTTGTCAGGAGTGTGGCTGCAGGAATGCCTTGCCATGGCGCCCCACCTGCTGGATGCTCTGCTAGAGACGGTTTTAACAAGCATGGGGCAAGGTGAGGAGACGATGAGTCGGGAAGGTCAATGATAGGGGGAGTGGGTTTGAAAGGCCGCCTTGCCATGGCGCCTCACCTGCTGGATGCACTTCTGGAGACGGTTCTAACAGGCATGGGGCAAGGTGAGGTGAGAGGCTTAGGGTTTGGGAGGGTTGGAGTTGCAGCAGGGAGTGTGGCTGCAGGTGTGCCTTGCTGTGCCGCCGCACCTGCTGGATGCACTTCTGGAGACGGTTCTAACAGGCATGGGGCAAGGTGAGGAGGTATAGTTGGGGCAAGTTGAAGAGGGGGATGAGTTGACAGTAGTGGGTAGACAGAGGGGAGCCCCTTGCCATGGCGCCTCACCTGCTGAATGCACTTCTGGAGACGGTTTTAACAGGCATGGGGCAAGGTGAGGAGACGGCTGGGGTTGAATCGCCTGTAGTGTGGGTAGATAGAGGGGAGCACCATGGCGCCTCACATGCTGCTTCAGACGGATTTAACGTGCAAGGGGCAGTTGAAGGGGGGTGAGTTGGGGCAAGGAGAGGGGCGAATAAATTTCGAAGAAGGGAGGTTGACTGGACTAATCCTCCCTTCCTCACTAATCCTTGCTGACTCCCTTCCTCACTAATCCTTGCCTTCTCCCTCTCCTTGCATCCCTGTCTGCTCTGTCTCGCTGTCTCTCGTTGCTCGCCTCTCACTGCTCGCCTCCCACTGCTCCTTTCTCACCTCTCGCCGCTCATTGCTCGTCGGCACGTGCAGATGAGTGGCGGGCGTTGCTGCCAGTCATAATGAGCCGCTTCGACGCACTCTTCCCCAACGCCACCTACCAACACCAGGTGGGGGGGAGCCTTGATAACATTCTGAACAGACTCTTGCCTCTTGCTTAGAGCGACTGTTGAGACGCCTCCAAGTTCGCCCTTCCCAACGTTACCTACCAGCACCAGCACCACCACCAGCACCAGCACCAGCACCAGCACCAGCACCAGCACCAGCACCAGCACCAGCACCAGCACCAGCACCAGCACCAGCACCAGCACCAGCACCAGCACCAGCACCAGCACCAGCACCAGCACCAGGTGCGGTGGAACGTTCCCAGACATCTCAGGAACTGCTCGCTGTTTTCCTGCTCTTCCGCCTTCCCTCTCCCATCGCTACCTCCCTCCTCCCCACCTCCTCCTCTCCCGTCCGCTGTCTGCATGCTCGGCAGGTGCAGCAGCTGTGCCTGCACACCTTGCTCGTGCTCTTCCGACTCTTGGTTTTTCAAGTCGACTAAATAATCTGCTCGTCGCTCCCTCCAACCTTCACTCCCCTGTGCCCCACAGGTGCAGCAGCTGTGCCTGCACACCTTGCTCGTACTCTTCCGACTCTGCCCTGCGCTACTGCTCGCTGTTCAGGTAATCACTACCAAACGATGATGGTACTTCTGAGAATTCTCAAAAGTACAATTACTACCAATCAAACCATGAGGTGCTGCCAATCTCCATTTCTGAGGCGCCTCAAAACTCGTGCTCGTCAGGCTCTGCCCTGCACTGCTGCTCGCTGTTCAGGTAATCACTACCAGTCATTCAATGAGGTGCTGCCACATGTCATAAGCCGGCCAATCTCCATGCTTTGCCATGGTTTATTGTGAACTCGTAGCTTCTGCCACACACCAAACCTGGCATGCCCAATATTCTTCCCGTTCCCAGTCCCTCACCCTTCTCCACATCCCCTTCCCTCCTCCTCCTAACCCCCTACCCTCGTGCACTACCTTTGAGACGTTTTCAAAATCCTCGTTTCCTCCCTTCCAACATTGTCCCCTTGCCAACTTCCCTCCTTCCCCCATTCCGTCCTTCCCTTTTTCTCCCGTATACCCATGGTGGCCATGCCGCCCCCCCGTTTCCCCGGTCCATGCCAGCCCACCATAGTGCGCATCATCACTGCTCCAATTACATCCATGGCTCAGGTACCCCCTGAAGTCTTTCAAGCATTCTGTGAGCTCTCTCATATCTTTGGGTTCTTTGGATTTCCCTGCGGGTACTATGAGGGTGCGCTGCTACAGAGGGTCCTCACCAATGTCACCATCATGGCGTGCTGAGTGCTGCTCGGTCTTTCTGTGCGTGTGCTGCTGCGTGCGCTAACTTGAACTTCTTTTTGCTTCTTTTGCCGTGGGGATGCCCACTTCCGATACTGCTTCAGTGGGCGGAACAGCTCTACTTCTTCTGCAGCAGTGAACCAGTTCCGACTCCCGACTTCCGACCCATGACTCACCATGCACACGGCTCACGTTTTACTGGCTTCTGCCCCTCTGATTTCTCTCCCCTGCCCCCCTACCCCCCTGTCCCCCTGCCCCCCTTGCCCCCCTGCCCCCCCTCCCCCCTGCCACCCTGCCGCCCTGCCGCTCTGCCCCCCTGCCCCCATGGCAGCACACGTTGGTTCTCCACCTGTGTTGGCTTTCTGGTGAGTACGCCTCAGCTGTCTCCACCCTCGCCACAGCAGCAACACCCATCACCACCACCAGCGGCAACAGCAGCGGCGGCGGCGGCAAGTTTGACAGCAGTAGCAGCAGCGGTGGTGTTGGTGGTGGTGGCACAGCCGTGGCAGGGAGGAATGTGGGGGATGGCGGTGTGGGGCAGGGGCAGGCGCAGGCGCAGGGGCAGCAGCGGCCGGGAGCAGCGGCGGAGTCACTCTTTGAAGCTGTGGAGCTGCTGCTGTTTGAGTCCATCGCCACCGCCAAGTGAGTGGAAGCTCCTGCGTCCTCCTGACATTGGGTCATACACATTCTCTGTAATCTGCCATGTTTGAGACCATTTCTCAAGCATCGTCTCTCTTTGAGATCGTAGAGTCGCTGCTGTTTGAGTCCACCGCCGCCACTGCCAAGTGAGCTCGTGTGAATGGGCGATACAGGTACACGTGTTCTGCGCTGAGTGAGGGAGTGAGATCCTATACTACCAAGTGCACAGAGCATGCCCTGCCCACATGCCCACGCTCCAGCAAGTACCACCACCACCACACTCACTCTCTCTCTCTTTCTCTGCACTAGCAGCAGGAAGTTGTGTCCTCCTCCACGCCAACTTCCCCCTCTCTACTTCTCTTTCCGCGTCACCCTCAACTACTAGGCTTACAGCCACAGGTCATGCCTGCCCAGATCCCTTTTTAAGAACTCTCCAACTCACACTCTTTGTTCCAACGCATTCCTCTTCTCTTTACACCCCTCTTTTCCCTCCTTCCCCCCCTTCCCCCCTCCGTCTACCAGGCTGGGAGCGGACAGCAGCATGGGCGGTATGTCAGGAGGAGCAGCAGCAGCGGTGCTGGCGCCATCGGCACGCTCGCGCCTGCTGTCTGCTGCTGTGGGAGCCATCGCAAAGCTCGCTGCTGCAGAGACCGACCTGCGCACTCGCGCACGCGTCTGCCTCTCCAAGGTGTGTGTGTGGGAGGGGGGGGGGGGGGAGGAAGGGGAGTGGGGATTGGCGGGGTGGGGGGGAGAGAATGGGTAGACGCATGGGTTAGTGTGTGGGTGAGGGTGTGGATGTGGTCGTGTGCATGTGCCCCACGAATGCATGCTGCCTACTCACCAGGCTGTATCCGCCCTAACATGGAGTGTCACTGATTCTTTCACATGCAGCAAAGCTTCCGTTGTGCTTGTTTCTGGAAATGGCGGATGCCCTTGCTTTCCTAAGGTTGGGCAACCCTGGTAATGCTCTCTATCTCAGCTCATACTTCCTAAGGTGGTAATCGGGATGCCCTCTCTCTCCATAGTCCTCTCGTCTCCCTCCCTTTTCCTCCTCGTCCCACTCTTTTCCCTCCTGTCTCCCTTCCTCCCCCTCACACCAGGTGGTTCGCTCGCGCACCCATCTGCACCCTTCAGTCTGTGACCACGCAGCAGACCTCCTCTCCCTGCTCCACCACCCCCTCCTCGCCGCCCTTCTCCTCTCCTCCACCCCTTCTCTCCCCACCCCCACCTCCTCTTTCCCTGCCTCCCCTCTGTCATCCTCGTCCTCGTTATTGGCGCCCTCGTTATTAGCTTCTGCGTCTGGCTCTGCTGTGGAGCGTACAGTGGAAGCGCACAGAGCAGTTGCTTTGCCCCTCTACCTGCTTTCGTCTCAGTCAGGTACAGCTGTTGGCTGCTGGGGTGCGGTGCAGTGGAGTGGGGTGAGACGGGCTGAGATGGGGTGAGATGGTGTGGGGTGCCTGCCTGCCATGTACGTTCGCCTGATGCTCCACACTGTATAAAATATCCTGCTGCCCTTGCTTGTACTGATGCTTGACTCTGCACCCAGTAAGCTTTGTTTCTTGTGATGCTGCAAACCTCATTGCTTGTCTTCCAGTCATGGCAACCTCCCTGGTTCATGGCCTGCATTGCATTGCATTGCATTGCATTGCACTGCATTGCGCTGCACCGCACACAAACCCTTGTGATGCATTGTGGGCTTAAGCCCACTGCTCACATAGTGCTCTCGGTGCGCCTTGCTCCATCCCCTAACCTACCCCTACTAAATCGTTAAGCTCATTATGTATTGTTGTGTTACAGCCTCCAACACTACCTCACCCAAGATTCTTCCTGTGCTGTGTGGACGCCCAATGCCCATTGTGCGCTGTCTGTCTGTGCTGTGAGAGCAGGTCCTCCAGTGCATGATTTCAGTGTATCGTCCATTCTTTTTTAGCCAGTGGATTTCCACTGGCGGTGCAAGAAGTCTGCTTGTAAGGCCAACGTGAATCCGGGTAGTAGCATGGAAGAATAGCATGCAAGGTACTCTGGATGAAGTGTGCAGAACAATTTTTTTGTGAAACAACTTAGGCCCGCACGCACGCACTACCTTTCGACTTGCAGACGCGTTCAGTCCCTATAATCATGCTCTCCAAAATGTTGGATTCCTTCAAATGTTTCTCATTGAGTTCGCCTCTAAATTTGAGTTGGTTAAGAATCTATTTGGTTGAAAATGTACTGCATAAAAAAATGTGTGCAGCTGAATCAGTGGAAGAAATATTTTTGTGTATGGTAAATCCTGATTGAAGTATACAAACTTCCAGACCACACATAAGAGCACTGCTTGTACGGTACCTTTGGCTCTAGAGAAACCTTGGGTCTTGTTCTGAATGTCGCTTGTAGGAAGTCACGAGTTGCGAGTTACCGTCTTGAAACACTCTCGCCAAGCCTAGGAGTTGAATGGTCACCGAAGATTGGCGACGTCATTCCATGTGGTAACTCGTGAGCGGGTGCTCACGCGAATTCTCATGGGTCGTCCTTGGCGCAGATTCCATGTGGTTTGTAAATTCTACTGCATTAGTTGGTCCCCGGACTCCTGCCTTCTTTATTCTGGTAGGACGGCATAACTCACGGACAAGACGACCCTGTCTACCAGGGTCTCTACCATAGTACACTGCCTCTCCCCATCCCCAGTATACCCCAGTATATCATAGCAATGGCGTATGGCTGCCCTTTCGCTGCGGCAAGCAGTAGTAACGCCGGCGGCATGTCCCGCAGCGCAGCCCGCTGCCCCATCTTCCTGCTAGTGGGCGCCGCGATTTGCGCCGCGTTCACCGGGCTGCAGGAGGTGGTGCCGGCGGCGTGGCTGCAGCAGCTGCTGGTGCTCCGGTTCTTCTCCTCCGTGCGCGTGGGCGACCGGCCGTGGCGGGACGTCGTCGCACTCACCGTCGCCGCCGTCGCAACGCAGGTAATAACAGCAGCAGCAGCAGCAGCAGCAGCAGCAGCAGCCGCACTTCGCATGCAGGAAACATCACGTCGCACGCACGTCAAAAGAATTGTTGCAGCTTTCAGAATAACAATCAGCACCACGGTTTAGTACCTCCTATCACACCACCCATGGCGGTACTTCTGAGCCTACTCAAACGCCGCGTGGTACTATATTCTCTGGCCCCGCGCTCGCGTCCTTCAGTAGCCCCCCCGTTACTCTTCCGACACGTTCACTGAGACAGTCCCCGACGCGACGCAGTTCACTTTTGAGTCAACACAAAAGTTCGCTCGCCGCGTCCTTCAGTAGCCCCCCCGTTACTCTTCCGACACAGTCTCCGAGACAGTCCCCGACGGGGACTGTCCCCCAAGAGGGTCTCTAAAAGGGTCTCTAAAAGGGCCTCTAAAAGGGTCCCTGAGAGGGTCCCTGAGAGAGTCCTTGAGAGCGTTGACTCAGTTGACTCAGTTGACACAGGGATCGTCCGCAGGGCTAGGTAGCAGTAATGTCTTGGCAGATAAGAACGGATGTCTTGTGATGTCTTTGTACCGAGACAGCTGATGGTGATGGGGATAAGGATTGGGAGGGTGATGGTGATGGTGGTGGTGCAGCTGATGTTGACGTTTAAGGCGCATAGTGGGCGAGATAGCTGTTAGCACGGGACGGGACGGGCGCATAGCGGTTGTGTTGTGGCTGGCTGCTTCTCACGGAGCACGGGACGGGCGCTGGAGAGCATGCGCATGAGTAGGGGATGGTAGCATGGGACCGCCCGCGCTCAGCGCGCCATGCACGTGTGTGCTGTGCATGTCCACGTGCGCACATGCACATCTGCATGTCCACGTGCGCACATGCACATCTGCATGTCCGCATCTGTACTTCAACATATCCGCGCCTCACTCACAGGCATGCGGCATGACAGTGGCGTATGCGGGCATGTACGCGGTGGGTCCCACGGCTTTTGAGACGTCTCAAAATTCCATATTTGTACGCCCCTTGTGCACGCCCCTTCCCACACAGGCATGCGGCATGACAGTGGCGTATGCGGGCATGTACGCGGTGGGTCCCACAGCTCACACGCTCGCCTCCATGCTGCTCGTGGCCCGCAACGTGCTGCCCATGACTGCCGTGCTGCTGCTGCCCTGCCTCGCTGACTCGCTCTTCCGCTTCACCTACAGGTGTGTAGGTGTGTGTGTGTGTGCATGTTTGCGGCTTTCTGAGTCTTGACCCCGCAGGCTTTCACACCACCTCCACCCGCTCATCTTCCCCCTCGTCTCTACCTCCATCTGGTCTCTCCTCACGCTCCTCTCGCCCTTCGGCGCCACAGCCCACCCCCTCTACTCACCTCAGCCCTCCCCCCCTTGAACCCCCTTCCTTTCCCCCTCAGGCTCTCTCAGAACCTCCATCCGCTCGTCTTCCCCCTCGTCTCCACCTCCATCTGGACGCTCCTCACTCTCCTCTCCCCTTTCGGCGCCACAGCCCACCCCAACTACTCACTCCGCTCCGTCCTGCCCCTCGTGCAAGCCACTGCCTGGGTGGGAATGCATGGGGTGCTGCTGGTGGTGGCGTGGCTGGTGGGGGGGATTCACCAGGTGATGTGGGAGCAGGATGCGGTGGGGAGGGGCCTCAAAATACAACCGTGCACGCTGCACTGCTCATGCTGTTGCGTTGCTTTCAGCTATCCACTCTGCATGCACTGAGGTGTATTTTGAGGCGCCTCAAAATACAACCGTGCACGCTGCACTGCTCATGCTGTTGCGTTGCTTTCAGCTATCCACTCTGCATGCACTGAGGTGTATTTTGAGGCGCCTCAAAATACAACCGTGCACGCTGCACTGCTCATGCTGTTGCGTTGCTTTCAGCTATCCACTCTGCATGCACTGAGGTGTATTTTGAGGCGCCTCAAAATACAACCGTGCACGCTGCACTGCTCATGCTGTTGCGTTGCTTTCAGCTATCCACTCTGCATGCACTGAGGTGTATTTTGAGGCGCCTCAAAATACAACCGTGCACGCTGCACTGCTCATGCTGTTGCGTTGCTTTCAGCTATCCACTCTGCATGCACTGAGGTGTATTTTGAGGCGCCTCAAAATACAACCGTGCACGCTGCACTGCTCATGCTGTTGCGTTGCTTTCAGCTATCCACTCTGCATGCACTGAGGTGTATTTTGAGGCGCCTCAAAATACAACCGTGCACGCTGCACTGCTCATGCTGTTGCGTTGCTTTCAGCTATCCACTCTGCATGCACTGAGGTGTATTTTGAGGCGCCTCAAAATACAACCGTGCACGCTGCACTGCTCATGCTGTTGCGTTGCTTTCAGCTATCCACTCTGCATGCACTGAGGTGTATTTTGAGGCGCCTCAAAATACAACCGTGCACGCTGCACTGCTCATGCTGTTGCGTTGCTTTCAGCTATCCACTCTGCATGCACTGAGGTGTATTTTGAGGCGCCTCAAAATACAACCGTGCACGCTGCACTGCTCATGCTGTTGCGTTGCTTTCAGCTATCCACTCTGCATGCACTGAGGTGTATTTTGAGGCGCCTCAAAATACAACCGTGCACGCTGCACTGCTCATGCTGTTGCGTTGCTTTCAGCTATCCACTCTGCATGCACTGAGGTGTATTTTGAGGCGCCTCAAAATACAACCGTGCACGCTGCACTGCTCATGCTGTTGCGTTGCTTTCAGCTATCCACTCTGCATGCACTGAGGTGTATTTTGAGGCGCCTCAAAATACAACCGTGCACGCTGCACTGCTCATGCTGTTGCGTTGCTTTCAGCTATCCACTCTGCATGCACTGAGGTGTATTTTGAGGCGCCTCAAAATACAACCGTGCACGCTGCACTGCTCATGCTGTTGCGTTGCTTTCAGCTATCCACTCTGCATGCACTGAGGTGTATTTTGAGGCGCCTCAAAATACAACCGTGCACGCTGCACTGCTCATGCTGTTGCGTTGCTTTCAGCTATCCACTCTGCATGCACTGAGGTGTATTTTGAGGCGCCTCAAAATACAACCGTGCACGCTGCACTGCTCATGCTGTTGCGTTGCTTTCAGCTATCCACTCTGCATGCACTGAGGTGTATTTTGAGGCGCCTCAAAATACAACCGTGCACGCTGCACTGCTCATGCTGTTGCGTTGCTTTCAGCTATCCACTCTGCATGCACTGAGGTGTATTTTGAGGCGCCTCAAAATACAACCGTGCACGCTGCACTGCTCATGCTGTTGCGTTGCTTTCAGCTATCCACTCTGCATGCACTGAGGTGTATTTTGAGGCGCCTCAAAATACAACCGTGCACGCTGCACTGCTCATGCTGTTGCGTTGCTTTCAGCTATCCACTCTGCATGCACTGAGGTGTATTTTGAGGCGCCTCAAAATACAACCGTGCACGCTGCACTGCTCATGCTGTTGCGTTGCTTTCAGCTATCCACTCTGCATGCACTGAGGTGTATTTTGAGGCGCCTCAAAATACAACCGTGCACGCTGCACTGCTCATGCTGTTGCGTTGCTTTCAGCTATCCACTCTGCATGCACTGAGGTGTATTTTGAGGCGCCTCAAAATACAACCGTGCACGCTGCACTGCTCATGCTGTTGCGTTGCTTTCAGCTATCCACTCTGCATGCACTGAGGTGTATTTTGAGGCGCCTCAAAATACAACCGTGCACGCTGCACTGCTCATGCTGTTGCGTTGCTTTCAGCTATCCACTCTGCATGCACTGAGGTGTATTTTGAGGCGCCTCAAAATACAACCGTGCACGCTGCACTGCTCATGCTGTTGCGTTGCTTTCAGCTATCCACTCTGCATGCACTGAGGTGTATTTTGAGGCGCCTCAAAATACAACCGTGCACGCTGCACTGCTCATGCTGTTGCGTTGCTTTCAGCTATCCACTCTGCATGCACTGAGGTGTATTTTGAGGCGCCTCAAAATACAACCGTGCACGCTGCACTGCTCATGCTGTTGCGTTGCTTTCAGCTATCCACTCTGCATGCACTGAGGTGTATTTTGAGGCGCCTCAAAATACAACCGTGCACGCTGCACTGCTCATGCTGTTGCGTTGCTTTCAGCTATCCACTCTGCATGCACTGAGGTGTATTTTGAGGCGCCTCAAAATACAACCGTGCACGCTGCACTGCTCATGCTGTTGCGTTGCTTTCAGCTATCCACTCTGCATGCACTGAGGTGTATTTTGAGGCGCCTCAAAATACAACCGTGCACGCTGCACTGCTCATGCTGTTGCGTTGCTTTCAGCTATCCACTCTGCATGCACTGAGGTGTATTTTGAGGCGCCTCAAAATACAACCGTGCACGCTGCACTGCTCATGCTGTTGCGTTGCTTTCAGCTATCCACTCTGCATGCACTGAGGTGTATTTTGAGGCGCCTCAAAATACAACCGTGCACGCTGCACTGCTCATGCTGTTGCGTTGCTTTCAGCTATCCACTCTGCATGCACTGAGGTGTATTTTGAGGCGCCTCAAAATACAACCGTGCACGCTGCACTGCTCATGCTGTTGCGTTGCTTTCAGCTATCCACTCTGCATGCACTGAGGTGTATTTTGAGGCGCCTCAAAATACAACCGTGCACGCTGCACTGCTCATGCTGTTGCGTTGCTTTCAGCTATCCACTCTGCATGCACTGAGGTGTATTTTGAGGCGCCTCAAAATACAACCGTGCACGCTGCACTGCTCATGCTGTTGCGTTGCTTTCAGCTATCCACTCTGCATGCACTGAGGTGTATTTTGAGGCGCCTCAAAATACAACCGTGCACGCTGCACTGCTCATGCTGTTGCGTTGCTTTCAGCTATCCACTCTGCATGCACTGAGGTGTATTTTGAGGCGCCTCAAAATACAACCGTGCACGCTGCACTGCTCATGCTGTTGCGTTGCTTTCAGCTATCCACTCTGCATGCACTGAGGTGTATTTTGAGGCGCCTCAAAATACAACCGTGCACGCTGCACTGCTCATGCTGTTGCGTTGCTTTCAGCTATCCACTCTGCATGCACTGAGGTGTATTTTGAGGCGCCTCAAAATACAACCGTGCACGCTGCACTGCTCATGCTGTTGCGTTGCTTTCAGCTATCCACTCTGCATGCACTGAGGTGTATTTTGAGGCGCCTCAAAATACAACCGTGCACGCTGCACTGCTCATGCTGTTGCGTTGCTTTCAGCTATCCACTCTGCATGCACTGAGGTGTATTTTGAGGCGCCTCAAAATACAACCGTGCACGCTGCACTGCTCATGCTGTTGCGTTGCTTTCAGCTATCCACTCTGCATGCACTGAGGTGTATTTTGAGGCGCCTCAAAATACAACCGTGCACGCTGCACTGCTCATGCTGTTGCGTTGCTTTCAGCTATCCACTCTGCATGCACTGAGGTGTATTTTGAGGCGCCTCAAAATACAACCGTGCACGCTGCACTGCTCATGCTGTTGCGTTGCTTTCAGCTATCCACTCTGCATGCACTGAGGTGTATTTTGAGGCGCCTCAAAATACAACCGTGCACGCTGCACTGCTCATGCTGTTGCGTTGCTTTCAGCTATCCACTCTGCATGCACTGAGGTGTATTTTGAGGCGCCTCAAAATACAACCGTGCACGCTGCACTGCTCATGCTGTTGCGTTGCTTTCAGCTATCCACTCTGCATGCACTGAGGTGTATTTTGAGGCGCCTCAAAATACAACCGTGCACGCTGCACTGCTCATGCTGTTGCGTTGCTTTCAGCTATCCACTCTGCATGCACTGAGGTGTATTTTGAGGCGCCTCAAAATACAACCGTGCACGCTGCACTGCTCATGCTGTTGCGTTGCTTTCAGCTATCCACTCTGCATGCACTGAGGTGTATTTTGAGGCGCCTCAAAATACAACCGTGCACGCTGCACTGCTCATGCTGTTGCGTTGCTTTCAGCTATCCACTCTGCATGCACTGAGGTGTATTTTGAGGCGCCTCAAAATACAACCGTGCACGCTGCACTGCTCATGCTGTTGCGTTGCTTTCAGCTATCCACTCTGCATGCACTGAGGTGTATTTTGAGGCGCCTCAAAATACAACCGTGCACGCTGCACTGCTCATGCTGTTGCGTTGCTTTCAGCTATCCACTCTGCATGCACTGAGGTGTATTTTGAGGCGCCTCAAAATACAACCGTGCACGCTGCACTGCTCATGCTGTTGCGTTGCTTTCAGCTATCCACTCTGCATGCACTGAGGTGTATTTTGAGGCGCCTCAAAATACAACCGTGCACGCTGCACTGCTCATGCTGTTGCGTTGCTTTCAGCTATCCACTCTGCATGCACTGAGGTGTATTTTGAGGCGCCTCAAAATACAACCGTGCACGCTGCACTGCTCATGCTGTTGCGTTGCTTTCAGCTATCCACTCTGCATGCACTGAGGTGTATTTTGAGGCGCCTCAAAATACAACCGTGCACGCTGCACTGCTCATGCTGTTGCGTTGCTTTCAGCTATCCACTCTGCATGCACTGAGGTGTATTTTGAGGCGCCTCAAAATACAACCGTGCACGCTGCACTGCTCATGCTGTTGCGTTGCTTTCAGCTATCCACTCTGCATGCACTGAGGTGTATTTTGAGGCGCCTCAAAATACAACCGTGCACGCTGCACTGCTCATGCTGTTGCGTTGCTTTCAGCTATCCACTCTGCATGCACTGAGGTGTATTTTGAGGCGCCTCAAAATACAACCG